GAGGCCGGGGCGGCGGGGGGGGGGGGGGCCCCGGGGGAGGGGGAGGGGCGCCAGCAGCCTTCCTTGCGGTCCGGAACCGAGATTGGAATCGCTGCAAAGGGGACAAGAACAGAGTCGCCCTCTCCCATAGCCTCCTCACCACCCCCTGTCCCACAACCCCACCCTTCCCCTCCTCCCCTTCCTCCCGTCCCAAGGAGGAAGCCGGGGTGCGGGGACTGGTTGGGGTCCCCCGCGGCATCGGGAGTGGCGCCCGGGCTGCGCCTGTCGTCACTCGTCCCCCGCTCTCCGCCCCCCACCCCGCTACGCCAAGGTCAAGGTCAAAGTGAGCGCTGTGCGCCGGGTTGCGGGAGCTGCGGGTTGTTTCCTCCTCTTCCCCTCCTCCCCCTGCTCCTCTTCCCCCCTCCCCCCTACCTCCTCCTCCGAGGCTCGGGCGGAAGATGACGTGGCGGAGCGAGGAGGCGCCACGCTGCCACCCAGCGCCCCCAGCGGGAAGGGACCCAGTGAGGACACCCAGCGGGCGCAGCCGGCGTCAGCCCTCGGGGCTCACAGGCAAAAGGAAGGGGATGGCGGGCACCAAGAGGGGTGAGGATGGGCAGAAGGCGCCCTGGTCTCCTGACCTCTGCAGCTGCTCCTGTAGGGCTGACAGGCGTCCTAAAAGAAGCCCACAGTGGTGCGGAGTGCCACGACAGAAGCCGGCACAAGCTTGAGGGCACTGGAAGCTGTGCTTGACGATGCTGGGGACGTTACCAAAGGCCCCCAGCGGCGATCACTTATGGATGGTTAGACGTTTCCAGGCTGAACAATACCGGAAGAGATGCGGCAGGTGGAGATAACATGTGTGGCCCTAGGAGGAGGGAGGGGACAGGGAGAACTGCAGGAACCCCTTCTATTCAAGTGTCTCTTGGAGGAGGTGCAGCCTGGCGCCCTGCCCCTGGGTACAGCTGTCCTCACAAGCCCAGGCCCTGCCCCTGTGCCCCCAACCCTGGCTGTGCTTATCAAGTCCTGGCCACGCTCAGGTGTCCTTGTGGCCAGGTCCCCGTCCCTGGGGTGTCAGTCTCCATCCACAATGCTTCAAGGCCAATGTAGAAAGGAAAGGGTCTAGCCTGCCACCTGGCTCTTCCTGACTCTTGGTCCCTAAGTGAATGCACCTTCCTTTCCTGGCAAACTCTGGGCTCACGGCCCAAGCCCTAGTGAAAAGACCCTGGGTTCTGGGAAGAATGGGCTTCAGTGGTGGGATTAACATTGACAGCCAGTAGCACCACGGCCGACATCTGCACCATCCCACCGAACAGCCTTTTTATTGCCTGGCTTTGGCTTTTTTTTTTTTTTTTTTTTAGGTGAGACAGAGCCTCATTATGTGGTCTAGGCTGATCTTGAACTTACTATGTAGCCCAGGCTGGTCTCAAACTCCCAGCGATCCTCCTGTTTCAGCCTTCCAAGTGCTGGGATTACAGGCGTGCACTACACCAGGCTTCATCTGACTTTAGCTAGAGCACCTGAGTTATTTTGGGTTTGTGCCTTGTGCACACTAAACATGCACTCTGTTACCCAGCTATGCCTCCAGCCCAAAAGCTTCTGAGCTGGTTTAACTGGCTCAAGGTCACCCAGCTATAACGGTGATCTGAAATTCAAAGCCAGAGCTGCCTCCTCTGAAGCTGTTCCCAGCCAGCCCCTTCGTTACTGCAAAGGCTTAAAGACCCAGAACTGTGAAGCTGAGGCAGGAGGATTGCAAGTTTGAGCTCAGACTGGGCAATTTAGTGACTTAGCAAGACCTGTCTCAAAATAAAAAAATAAAGAGGGTTGGAGATGTAACTCAGTACTGCAAAAAGAAAGGAGAGAGAGAGAGAGAGGGAAAGGGATGGAGAGAGAGAGGAGACAGGAGGAGGCAGGACTTCTGATCTCTCCACTTGAAGGAGGGATGGGTGGTGAAGTTGTCCCCAGCTCATAAGTAACCACAGCTACAGACCACAGTGCCACATGGGACTGTCCTCTATGCCTAAGACACTGTTACACGCTTCTGTATTCACAAAGGCCCAGAACAGACCCCAAACCACACTAGGTCTTTCAACCCAGGGGGTTGAATACAGGGAGCTTCTTTTGCAGAACTGAACTGTGGGGTGTGGGGGCTGGGAGGGCTGCCAGCCGCCTGTCCCCTCGCAGAGCTCCAGGGGCTCCCTCTGACCCACACCCAGCAGAGTCCTCAGAAGATACCTGTGGAGCCAGGGCCACGAGAGATCCTTGGAGTCAGGATGCTAGGCCAAGCCCCTCCCCTTCACCGAGTCTCAGTTTCCCTTCTGTGAAAGAAGAGCCTCTCTGCCCTAACCAGAGCTCGTAGTGATACTGGAAACAGAGCTTCCCGACCTCCAGGCAGCTGGAGGGGCGCTGCACCCAAAGTCCTGAGCCACTGTTACCAGTGGCTGGGCTCCCACAGTCCAGGCCCTGTAAACATCCCCATCTCTGGCTCCACCAGGGAGCCTAGATAGGGGGGTCACATGTGCAGTCACCATCATCCCTGCCACTCAGCCACACCCTGGTGGTTTGGTTTGCTGAAAACATCTGCCCCAGTGCTGACCTGAGAGGGGAAGGGAGGGATGGCTGGAGCCTCTGGGCTCTGGAACAGGAAGTTGATGGCGAGTACTATGCAGGTACAGGGACAGGGTCACAGGAACGGGTCAGGCCAGCCACAGAACTCTGGCCTTTTTTTTTTTCTTTCTTTCTTTCTTTCTTTCTTTTGAACTCAAGGCCTTTGCACTGAGCTCGATCCCCAACCCTTTTTATTATTTAGAGCTAGGGTCTCCTAACTTGCTAAATTTCCCAGGCTGGGCTCAAACTTGCCATCCTCCTGCCTCAGCCTCCCAGAGTGCTGGGATTACAAGCAGGAACCACCACACCTAGCTAGGGCTTTTCTTAAAGAAGTCCTTGTCACACAATGGGAGGGGACAGGAAATTGACTTGGGATGACCAGGATTTGGCATTCCTAGACAAGGGGGACAAGCTTACAGGGGCCCAGGAGTAAAGGATGGGCCCACTAAGGACTGAGGTATCGCTGATGTCTCTAGGAGACAGCTCTACAGGGACACCAGGCACCCAGCAAAGTGCTGCTCCTTGGTCCTAGTAGCAGAAGTCCTGGCCTGGCTTCAGGCTCCGAAGAGCCCCACTCCTGCCCCAGGGAAGGAGCTGGTGAGGGGACCAACTGGACACATCCAGTTAGATGAAACCATCACTCTTCCAGAATGTTCTGTGCAGGCCCTGGTGGGTAGCAGTGCCAGGCCTGAGGACAAAGGAACAAGGAGGGAAGGGTGGGGCAAGAGGGCACCGCCTACCTGGGCCGAGACCATCCTGTGCCTCTGCTTGGCTTGACCACCTGGTCATGCAGGGAAGCCAGGAAACGTGTGCCTATGTGACATCTAGTGACACGGGCCCCTGGGACTGGCAAGTCCACCTGGCAGCCTTTGTTTTCCTTACTCCTTAAACAATACAGCACAACAATGACTTGCGTGGTGCTGACATCGTCTTAGGTATTCGAAGTCACCCACAGATGATTTAAGGTTTGTGGGAGGGTGTGTGTACTTATACGCAAACAGTGCCCCTTGCATAAGGACCCAGGCGTGCACGGAGCCTGTATCTGTGTGCAGAGGCCTGAGTATCCCGTGCATACTGAAGTGCAGATGTTCCTGAATGTTCTTACCATGTAACTTACCCGTGGCAGTGACTTCAAGGAGTTTTTATGGGACTTTTTGCTGGGCAGCCAGGCCAGTCTCAGAGGGTGAACACCCGTGCCCCCTATGGTAGGTTGCTGGCAAAGTTGGCCATACTCAGTCCTCTCCGTTATCACCTCTAATACTTAAGACAATGTCAGCACCACATGAGTAATTGTCGTGCTGTGTTGTCTAAGGAGAAAGGAGAAGAAAACAGGGAACGTGTTGCCTACATTCTGTCTGTGGCTGCCTGAATCCTCGCGGGTGAAACTCACAGATACTGGGGCCTGCTGGACACTTGGACCTCTCGCTGTGGTCCTGGCAGCAGAGAACGAGTGAATTAGCACAAGAAACCAAAGAGAAAAAGAGCTGGGAGCCTAAACAGGGCAGAGTTTAGCAGCCCAGAGCCAAGAAGCCTCCAGAAACCGCCGCTTCCCTAGGGTGGAAAAACGAGGAAGAGCACTGCCTGAGGAAGAAGGACGGAGGTAACGTCAGCCAGCAGCAGACTAGGGTTGAGGACGCCCAGAGGATCCCTTCCTCCTCGCGGCCTCCGGCTAGGGCCTCCCATTGGCCAGGCGTACCGGAAGTAGTTACGAGGCAGCCTGGGAAATATAGTTCCGAGCCGGCTGCAGCGTGGCAGAACAGGGAGCAGAGTGATGCCAACAGGAAATGCCAGGCTTGCTGCAGTGGGCATGGTGGGGATGGGACGCCCCGCCCTACCTGAAGGCATCAGCTCACGACTTGGTCTGATCTGCACAGCAATGGAGGGAGAGCAGCAAGGAGGAGACTCTGCCACCTCCCAGCAGGAGGCGACAGCAGAACAATGACCTGTGCTCTGGGCCCCACCCTTGACCTTGCTAGTACAGCGTTCTCGGTGGCCCTATCGCCTGAGCTGGGATTTAGACTCCTGTTAGCAAGAGCAAAGGTCCCGCCCCATGGGGAGGTGTAGGGCACAGCTGCGGTCCCGGGTCCACGTCCTGCCACCAGGCCTCCGCCTTGTGTGGGTCGTTCACTCGGTGCTTTTCCCAGCCCCTAAGACCCAGAAACCCCAGAAAAAATTATTATAGCCAAAAAAAGCATGCCCCAGGAGTCCCCCTGTAACCAAATCAAGTCAAAGTCCTGAAACCGAGAACTGAAAACCTCCCAGAAGGTGTGGGCATGCAGCTTATCTGTTGGGAGCTAAATTAGATCCTCAGGCCCCCATTATTTCCCTAAGTGATATAGATCTTTACAAATGAGCTTCTGTATATTTGCTACGTACAAAATCACACACCATCAGTGTGCCTGCCCTCATTTAATAATTCCCAGGATCCAGTATTGTAAGAGTTTCATGTGGCATTGTATTTCAGAGCAAGAAATTGAGGATCAGAGAGGTAGAGCAACCTACCCTGGGACACACAGCTTGTCGATGAGCTGCTCCCAACAATGGGAGAACTGACGTGTGCATGCTCATAGTGTCTGAATAACCGTGGGAGTCGTCCTAGCATGGCACCACCACCATCCGTGTCATCACAATGGGCAGTTGTCCTGAGGCAGAGTCGGTACACACCCGCAGGGGTGAAGTGGACAAGCAGATGTTTGTCTGGCTCCCCCTGCCTTCCTTAGTGAAAATGTCACATCATGAAGGGTCTGCAGAGCTCTCCAGCCCAGCCCCAGGTTACACGCAGTCCCAGAGGAGCCAGGTGACTTGCTCAGGGCCACACAGCTGGTAAGGTGAAAGCCACATCAGCCCAGGTGCAACTGCGAGCCTGTTTCTCAACCTGCTTCCTCTCTGCCTGTGGCTGCCACAGAGTTTCAGTGGTTCAAACCCAGAGGGCCAGGTGGGGAAGGTTTGGTTTTCACATCTCCTTCATAGGCTATGGCTCGATTTTTACTCTTGAACTAAAGGTAGAAAATTATTGTTTGCTTTAAGACATGGCCATCTCTCTTCCCACCTCAAATGCATTAGCACCTTGCTGTCCCACCAAAAAATAAAATAATTATTCTACTGGGCAAGAAAAAGAGGAAGCTATGTTTCCTGTTCCTGATGGCCAATTCCCAGAACAGGCAATGACGTCTTCATGGACCAATAGGAAAGGGTGGCCCCACCCCAGCCCGGCTCCACTGCACAGGCAAAGGGGGGGGGGCGCTCCATCTCTAGCCATAGTCCAGGGCCCAAGTCCCCACCCTTCCACAGGGAGCTGCACCCTCTGGCGTCCTGTACTCCCAGAATTTCTGTGCTGGGGTCAACAGTGCTGACTCCTGGCATCCTTACTCATGGTAGATGGGCAGCAGGGAAGGAGAGGCTGTCTCCACCATGCTCAAAGAGGACAGTCTGGCGGGAAGTGTACTCCTGAGCACAAGGGTGGCTGTCAGCTAGCTGCTTCTGCATAGCAAAGCATCCCAAAATGTAGTAGGTAAAACAGCCACCATCACCTAGCTCAGGATTCCTCACATTGGAATCGGTTTGCTCAGCATTTCAGCCTGCTGCTGGGCTGGCTGGGTTGGGCCAGTCTAGGGCACCTCTGTTCTGGGCTCTCTCTCCGCAGCAGGCCCCCAGACAAGAGCCGAGGTGCTCAGCACCCCTTGAGGTCTGGGCTCAGAACTGCCATAAAGTTGCTCCTGCCATTTCCGGAGGCTGTCACTTCCTAAGGCCAGTCCTGATAGGGGACCAGAAATCAGCCCCAGCTCTCACTGGGAGAAACCACAGTCACACTGCCCAGTGGCCGGGATGTAAGGAGGAGAAGACTGTTGCTAGATTTGCAAGTGATCGTCCCCTGTATCCATTCTAACCCATTTAGGCACAAAGTAGAGATTTCTGGGGGAATGGAATAGCCATCCCAGCAAGGATTTGAAGCCAGCATGTTGCACACCTACTAAGTGTGAACCTCAAGTGTGAGTGAGATCTGGCCAGGACTGTCCCAGGAGCACAAGTGCAAGATATTCAATGATTCTGTGAGCCAGTTGTAAACCCTTAAACTTGAAGTGCATGGTGGGGATACTTACACTGCAGGAATGCCGAGCACCTCAGATCGGTGCTTTTACTCCAGAGAGCTGTTTTACCATGGCCTTTAAACCAAACAAACCCTGCCTCCTCCATTGTAGTAAGAGATTCATGATGAAAGGTTATTATGCGCCAGTCAGGCCTGATGACTTCAGCACAAGTAATCCTGGAGACTTAGAGGAAAGAGGAACACAGAGTTCTCAGTGCAGCGGAGTTCAGGGACGTCTTCATGGAGGAGGTGGTCTTTAGGTGGGCCTTGGTAGGAAAGGTGTGATTGCCTGCCATCGCCAGAGGAAGCTGGCTGCTCCTTCAGACAGCTCCAACCCTTAAACACACAGCTGTCCTTCCTCTTCCCTAAAACCTACAGAGCCCACTTTTCCCAGCAGCCTCCCACCCACCTAACCAAACCCAGTCCTGCTTAGCTTCTAGGATCAGCACATTCAGGGAGCCACAGTGGTAGGGACAGGAAGGGCCAGGCAACTGGACCTTTGTGCCCTGTGGGTAGTCGTGCTGTGACCTGCTTCACTGCTTCAAACAAGTTGTGTAGGAGGTGACTGGCCCCGCCCCCAGGCCCACCTGTCCCCCTGTCCCACTGCCCACTCCTGTGACCACACCCACCTGGAAAAGCCCTGGGCATGACAGCTACCACTCCTGGGAGGGAGCAAAATGAGATGCCCACTGGGTCATGGTCCCTGCAAATATCTGGCAGATCGGTGCTCAAGGTTGATTTTCATTCAGTCCCCACCCCTGGGTCATCAGGAAGTGCTAGATATTCCACCCCTCCCAGTGGTCTTCAAGGACAATGGGTCTTTCCTGGCTGGGTTCAGTGGCCCAGGGCTGAGCCCTGGCCCCCTGGCTGCCTTGACAGGTGGTCCTGGGACAGTCACTTTCTCCCCAGGAGGAGCCCTGGCACCATGCTCAAGGCATGGGCCCTTGGTCCCCAGGCAGCTGATGAGGACATCTGGCCCTCTCCAGAGGGAAGAGGGGAGCCAGAGCCCCAGCTGCAGTTCGAGGGCCCCCTTCTCAGATAGCTGCCCAGCCAGCCGCCAGAGCCAGAGCAGTTCCTCTCCCAGCCTTTGTTCCACTTCAGAAAATTATGCCAGAGCCCAGGGAAGCCCTGGAGACAGGTGTCCCACACCGACCTAGATTAAAGGAGCAGCCAGGATTAGCAGCCTCTTGGGAACTATCTTGGTGCAGTGACCTGGACTTCTTTACCCCGCCTTCTCTTCCTTCTCCAGGGACCACCCTGCACCCTGGCTGGAGCTGGGTTCTCTACAGATGTCAAAAACAGCTGCTCAACTACAAAACACAGCAGAAGCTTCCAACTCCTCTTGCACATTCATAGATGTGCTTTTGAGAAATTACCAGTCTGGTCCTTCACCGTTTGTCCCCGTCAAGTTGTCCAAGTTCCTTATACATCTGAGACTTAAACCCTTGTCAGAAAAATGATTGCAGATACTACTTCTTCTTCTTTTTTTTAAATACCGGGGATCAAACCCAGGTCCTTGCACTTGCAAGGCAGGCAGCAGAACCCCTGAGCTAAATCCTTGGCCTGGTTGCAGACACTTCTGTCAGTCTGTAGGTGGTTTCTTCACTCAGCTGCTTCCTGCCGTGGCTTTACTGAAGCTACTTAATTTGGTGGCATCCCACTTATCTATTTTCACTTCTGTTGCCCGTGCTTTTAAAGTCATATCCAAAAAATTATTTGTCCCGGTCAACATCTCAAAGTATTTCCCCAAGATTTTCTTCTAGTAGTGTCATAGTTTTTTTATCTTGGATTTAATTCTGTGATTCATTTTCAGGTGGTTTTTTTGTTTGTTTGTTTGTTTGTTTGTTTTTGTACATGGTGAGAGATGGAGGTCTAATTCCTTTCTGCTGCCAATGGATTTTCAAATTTTGCAAGCACCCTTTACTGGAGACCCCTGTCTGTGTTCTAACTAATGTTGAAAATCAATTGACTGTCAATACACGCATGGATTAATTACTAGGTTTTGTATTCTGTTCCACTGGTCTGTGTGTCCGTTTTTAGGCCACTGCCGTGTTGTATCTGTCATTACGATAATGCGGGCAGCTTTATTCCTTTTGCCTAGGTTCACTTTGGTTATTCGGAGTCTTTTGTACATACAAACCCTAGGAGCATTTTCTTCTATTTTTGTGAAGAATGCAACTGGTATTTTGGTAGAAACTGCATCAAATCCATAGATGTTTTGGCACCAGGACAGATGGATATTGCTGCTCAGTGACATGGAAGGGGGGAAGGGGCCACTGCGTGGACCTTGAGCCCAGGGCACTTGGGCAGGCGGGGATGGGTCCAGTGGGAAGGTAGCAATGCACCAGGACAGTGGGGGAAAAGGAGCGGAGATGTAGCCAGTGCTCACAGGGGTGGAGGGAATCTCGGATTAAATGGAAGAGGAGAGTTAAGGCTGCTCACTGGGAGAGGAAGGAGCCCAGCAGAGAGGAAGGAGGCAGTGCACAGGGGCCCAAGAAGGGATGCGAGAAGGAAGGCAGGTCCTGTTCAATGCCACCAAGAGGCCGTGCAAACCAGATGTGAACTGAAAGAGGCCGGGAACTGAGGGTCACCGATGACCGTGGCCAGAGCAGCCTCAGGGGTGCGAAGGTCTCCAGGCTGCTTCAACAGGAATAGGATTTGATGGGAGGGAGGGAGGGAGGGAGAAAGGGGTGACCCGGAACAGGAAGGGGATTCTGGGATCCACCAAAGCCACCACCAGCACAAGCTCCGTGGACTTAGCACACACACAGAGGTCTCTCATTCCCAGGTGGATGCACCCAGATCCCGGGGGATGCCAGCTGTGGCAGCCAAAAGCCACGCACAAAGAGGCCGGGGCTGCAGCACTCACCTTGATGGGACCCACTCTGCTCACCTCCTCCTGTGCTCTGTGTTTTGGGCAGCAGGTTTATGCCCCCTGGGCACTCGCCCGGCCCTGGGGAGGTGACAAACAAGAGTTCCAGGTGCAGAGTGTGCCCTGAGCTACCAATGGCAGCTGGCACAGGTCACCTGCCCAGCAACCAGCTCCCCACCCACCGCTCCAGGAAATGCAGGGCATCTGGGCCAGCTGCACTCCAGGAAGAGGCCAGGCACTGGGCCCAGAATTGCACAAAATGGACTTGGGGCTGATCGCCCAACCTGGACAGGCGCCCTCGCCTTCCTAGGAAGGGCATGAGATCTGGAACTGAGGCCATGGCCGACATCAGAGCTAGAGGTTGGCAGAGCAGACAGATCTCTGAGCCTGGTACCCATGGGTGCTGAGGAAGGGGCTCTGCATCCTCAGTGCCGTGGGCTCCAGTACACCTGGGTCCAGCCCCACTCAATGTAGACTGAGAGGACTCAGGGAGCACATCCAGCAATGAGAGTCAGGAGAAAATCACTTCCTGTCCCGTGTTCCTGTTGTGATGCTGTTACCTGTACCCTGGAGATCTGAGATAGGTCTCATATTAAATTTACAATTTAAATGGCATTACTCTGTGTAAATGTTTATGGCGCAGCCTATGTGCTGAGCACCGAAAGGAAAAGATATTTTCATCAGTGTGTAACTGAAAAGGGCGGCCCTAGACGAGTGCTTCTCAACCGGGGCCCCTCTCCAGGGACAACGTTGATGTCTGGAGCTGCTTTCAGCATCATAACTGAGAGGTGCTGCTAGCACGGGTGGAGAGGTCGGCACACTGCTAGACACTGCCCCAGGGACAGCAGCCACCACAAGGCTCTGTCCTGTCCAGGTGTCCCTCATGCCGAGATCACAAATGGTCCCAAGGCACAGCAGACAGGTTAACAGTGCTTCCCCTGGAGAGGGACCAGGGCTGACGGACCAGGACTCAGGGATTCGGGACCCTTCCTTTCCCTTCTGTGCACTCTGGAACTGCTCTGTACTTGGCTTCTGCTGAGTACATATTTTTCTTTTAAAAGAATAACAGCTGGAGCTGGGCATGGTAGCACATGCTTATAATCCCAGCACTTGAGGAGGCTGAGGCAGGAGGATTGCTGCAAGTTTGAGGCCAGCCTAGGCTACACAGTGAGTTCAAGGCCAGCCTGCACTACAAAGTGAGACCCTGTCTCCAAAATAAGTAAACAAATAAATTTTAAAAAATTTTTGTGAATGCCTTGGGTTCAATCCTCAGTATCGGGGTGTGTGTGGGAACTCTTAAAGAGAATAACAACAATCCAGGGGCAGTGGTTCACACCTATAATCCCAGCATCCAGGAGGCTGAGGCAAGAGGATTACCTTGAGTTCAAGGCCAGCATGGACTACATAGCAAGACCCTGCCTCAAAAAACAAAAACAAAAAACTAAACTGAAAAGAATAATGAGTGAACAGTGCCACAGTCATTGAGTGGTCTTCTCTGGACTGTGGGATGAAGGCGGCTGAGGAGAGGAGACAGGGCCAAGCCAGCCATCGGCGCTCAGGTCGAGACTCCTCCCTGCCTTCTGCACCCCACCCCAACCCCGGCACCACTGACTGCCTGGACCAGACACTTCTTTCCCACAGGATTCCCCATGTGTCTGGGCACAGTAGGGTGTTCTGTTGCCTGGATGCCAGCACACTCCCCAGGTGGTGACTGCCAAAAGTGTCCCCAGACTTTTCCAGCTGTCCCAGGAGAATGATGCAGAGTCACCCTGGCTACAAAAGCCTCTCTCTGCCTGGGAAAATCCAGCCCCGGTCACGGACCTCGCTGGACACAGGACCCCATGGACAGGTCACACCATGAGCCACAGGGCTGTGTGTGGATGGAGCAGGAGACACTGAGCAGAGGGTGGAGCCCCCCCAACTCCCCTGGACCATCTGTGTCCTTGTGATGTGGCCACAGCCACACAGTGGGCCTCATGAAGCCAGGATGACGCCATTCCCTGTGGCATCTCAAGACACTCTCAGCAACTGTCCCCCTCGCCCCCTGGGCCCCCCTAGTCTCTGGTCACCCCCCTCGGAAGCATGTGCACCAGTCAGCTTTCCCATGACTGGAAGCAGAGGTCGAACTAGGCTCAGGTTTTAAGGGGACTCAGTCCATGGTCAGCTGGCTCTAAGGCAGGAACATCGTAGTAGAAGGGCTGGAGAGCCAAACTGCTGAGCTATATGCACAGGAAACAGAACGGGACAGCCCTACGAGGGGCTGGATAGAGGACCGAAGGTCACAATGCCGTGACCCCCTCAGACACACCCAAGGTGTCCCCACCAACCCCGGGAAGGATCCCAGGGCGGATCCCAGAGCCAGTCAAGCTGTCACGCACCCAGCCACCGCAGCAGGCTGGCAAGATAGTACAGGACCAGTGTGGCAGTCCCCTGCCAGCGCCCTGACCTCCTTGGAAGGTCTGACTCGGCTGTCCCCAGCACAGTAGCAGCTCCAGGGACACCCAGCTCACTGTGAACACAGAGACGGCCCCTGGGGCTGGGCACCACAGGCCTGGGAAGCCTCCCTACCTCAGGGTCTGCGGCCCCAGAGACCTGGCTTGCAAATTCTCTGATGTCACAAATGACAGCGGTGGCATCAGACCCACCCCGTTTCAACCCCTCAAAGCAGGTGATGGAGGGGAGGGTGGTGCTTCCCTCCTTGAGGGGAAAGCCAGGTAGTGCAGGACTCGCTGGCTGTGCAACCTCAGACAAATCACTTAAGCCAACAGTTGCAACAATAAGAGAGAGAATAACAGTGGCCTCCTCCTCATGTCATTAAAAACATATGAAAACTCTCGGGTCCTTTATATAACAGCATCTTGAATGTGCACACACACAAACATGTGCACACCTGCACACATGAGCACGCACCGTGTTGGTAAATAAAAGAGCTTTTAAACCTCAATTTGAATGATGCTGAAGTGCATCTGAACAGCTCAGATCCGCTGGCTTCGATCTTGTCCCTGGCTGTTTCCCACCTGTGGTGTTTTCTGATTGATCAGAGAGAAATCCCCAGGGTCTGCAAAGGAAGCTTTTAATTGCTGCGGATGGGCCAATTTTGGGCTTAGCTGCTCAAGCATATAATTGAGAGGATGGTGGGGGGTGTAGAGGGAGAGAGAATATCATTTCTGTTTGTTTTTTGAGTCTCCCTATGTAGTCCAGGTTGGCCTCAAACTCCTCATGATCCTCCTGCCTCAGCCTCCTGAGAGCAGGGATTACTTGGGAGATCATTTTGAGGTCACTCTGAGAAAGTGCATAGCCAGACTTCTTAGTTGATGCGACCTCAGACTGCACCATTCTGACTCCCACGGCCCCGGGAAGAGAATTCAGTCGTCTCTTCCTTTTCTCAATGTCTTCGGAAAGCAGGCATGACCGTGACACTCACTGGGCTGTCCCAGAGGACCAGGAGCATAGTGAGGCAGGTAACCCTCTGTGTTTGGAGGGGATCTTAGAAGCACCAGGAGGAGCAGAGAAAGAGAAAGGGGTTCAGCAGGGACCTTAGGGACAACTGGGATGTCACCCCCTGGAGAACATGTGGGCAAAGTGCAGAGCAAGGCCACCTGGGGACACCCAGGGACACCCAGGGAGCTGGGGGTCTGAGTGTCCCTGGGGCATCACGCCCTAGTGCAGCAGCCGCAGGAAGCCGTGGGGCAAAGTCACACGCTGGGGTTGGGCACCAGGGCTCCCAGGACAGCCAGCACCTGCTGCTGCACACAAATCTAAGGCAGCCCAAAGGTAGGGAGTCCTTGTTTCCCAGGGATTTGTGGCCTCATGGAATATGCCATCTTTGCTTGTTTGTTTGCTTGTTCTTTGAGACAGGGTCTCACTGGGTAGCCCAGGCTGGCTTTAAACTCACCTCAGTCCGGCCGGGCGTGGTGGCACACACCTGACATCCCAGCACTCGGAGGCTGAGGCAGGCAGGTCACCCCAAGTTCAAGGCTAGCCTGGTCTGGATCGTGAACTCAAGGCCCAAAGTACACAGGGAGACTCTGTCTCAAAACAAACACCAAAAATAAAACAAACTCAACTTAATCCTCCTCAATGCTGGGACGACAGCCTGTGCCACCACACCCAGCTGATTTTTCAAGTGGATGAAGTAGTTGAAGATCTATAACCTTTGTTTGTCCCTTACCATATGTGTTTCAGGCCGCACGCTCCATGTGAAGGGAAAGGAGCAATTCCCTTCGCCCTCACTCGGAGACTCGTGCTGCTCCAGCTCCTCTGGCCCTTCTGTGCTCTCGGGGCCGCTGCCATCACCATTTGGGAGTCATCTTGGCCTCCCCAGCACATTACCTTCCCTCCCTCCCCGTTCCGGTGATGCAGCATTTTTGGACTCCGGAGGACGCCTTGATGGAATTTCTATCCGGATCCAGGAGCTCCTATTTGAATAACATCAGGGCAGCTGCCTGCGTGGGGCCCCAAGGGAGCTGCTGACGCTTGCTTTCTGCATCCCAGTGCCGCCCAAATTCATGGCCTCCACACTGCAGCCCACACCTCAAGTCTCAGAAGATCAGGAGGTATGGGTTCAGCCCAGGGCCTGCTGGCTAGGGCCGTTTATGCAGCTGTAAGGAAACAACTGCAGGCTGGTGATTCGGAGCAGGACTCCATCTTCTTGTGGCTCTGGAAGCTGAGGTCCAAGACCAGGCGCTTCAGGGTCTGGTGTGGAAGAGGCCCCAGCCCTCTGCCTCTGAAACAGGGTCCGTGGCTGGGTCCTCCAGAGGAAAGGGCTACACTGTGTCCCTGTGGAGCACAGAAAGGGCAGAAAAGGCCTGTGCTCACCCCCTGCAGCTCATTCATAAAGCGCTGAGCCATTCAGGGCAGCAAGGCTCAGTATGAACAGAAGCGGGGGTGCATTCAGACAGCACCTCCTTCCAGCAGGTCCTTCAGAGGACTTAGTGACCCAAGTCACCACTGACAGCAAGTGTTTCAAGTCCCATGGTTCTCCCAGATTACACTTGGCCCTCAAAATAGAATAGCTGGCGTCGGGCATGGTGGTGCACACCCGTCATCCCAGCACGTGGGAGGCTGAGGCACGAAGATTACCTGAGTTCAAGGCCAGCCTGGGCTACATAGTGAGTTCAAGGACAGCCTGAAGTACATAGTGAGACCCTGTCTCAAAAAAACAAACTGGGGCAGGGGATTTAGCTTAGTTGTTCTGCCACCTGCCTTGCCAGCACAAGGACCCCAGTTCAATCCCTGGTACCAAACCAAACAAACAAAAAATCACAATAAAATAATGGGCCCTCCTCACAACCCGGAAGACTGCAATCTTTGTAGAAAACACTGAGCTTCCTGCCCCAGGGGCCTCTGGGAAGTGGGAACTTGGCCTCAGACCCAAGCATCATGGTGGGGCTGGAGCCACATGCAGAAACGCATCCCAGTCCTCACCACAATCGGAACTGTGGCTTCTAGCAGCTCAAGGGTCCTCTGTGAGTGAGGTAGCAGTTGTGGCCTC